TGTTTTTTTTTCTAAATCCCCTTTTCGGGTGCTACTACCTCCATAATCCAGTATACGAAGGGGCTTGCGTAAAGGTTTAATGAGAATACTTAACCAAGTGGATGTGCGAAACAAGAGACGGCCTCTGTAGCACATGTCCGTGTTTCATATCTATCTATCTATCTATCTATCTATCTATCTATCTATCTATCTATCTATCTATCTATCTATCTATCTATCTATCTATCTATCTATCTCTATCTATCTATCTATCTATCTATTTATCTATCTCTTGCTTTCTTCATTTCTCTTTTCTTTCTTTCTTTCTTTCTTTCTTTTTTTCTTGCGTGCTTGCTTGCATTTACTCTTTCTTTCTGTATTTCTTTCATTGTTTCTTTCTTTCTTTTTCACTTTAGTCAAACCCACCTTCACATATGTCTTTCTCTCCCAATTGATATTTCAATGCATTGATTTTTTTCGCATACAGATCTTCTTTATCCCTCTTTTTTCCTTCGTGTCTGAGCAACCTTACAAACACGACTGTCCGCTATTTTGTTCTACACTGCTTCATACAAAAAAGAAGTTTCTTTCACACTAAGCGGACACCATCATGAAACAAGAATCTACTGTGGGAGTCACGCGAAACTCGAGGATAAAACGAAGTAGCGATTCCATTGCTCGCTTCGGTAAATGGGCTACACTTTCGTGACACTGCGCTGAGGAAAACAATACAGCCTCGGTGAATTTTTGAAAAGCGGCGACATTGATGCCGCTGACGTCTTTTGTTTTGTTTTTTCAGTGTCTGTGCGCGATCGGAAAATAACAAAGATCCGTCAGCTCACACACACACACGAAAAAAAAATATAGCAGTTGCAACACCGCATCTTGTCTTCAGGTATGCTTTATTCATGTGCCTCCCACGAGTAAACGATACCGACTATGCATATCGCTGTTAAAAACTCCGCGCGTGAATGCACGAGCCGCATTGCTTGCTCAATCCTCAGCTGTGTCTCCTCCCGCATTTGCATTTTAAAGCGGAGCTTTGTGAGACCACTCGAAAAGGAAATGCAGTGGTAAGATGTTCGCAGAAAACGGTCATCATTATAAGCGGGCGGGTGCCGCAGAAAGTAGGGCCAACTGCATTATCACTGCTGAATTCTGGATGAGAGTGGAGGGAGTCAATTCTTTCCTAAAAAATTTTGAATTTCACATCAGTATATATACCGCGCGCGCGCGCGCACACACGCACACACACACACACACACACACACACACACGTGAATCGTGGTTGAGAATAATAATAATAATAATAATAATAATAATAATAATAATAATAATAATAATAATATCTCGGATTTTGCGTTCCATTACCACGATATGCGGGTATGTACCGGGTATAACGTGGCAGCAGCAAGCACGGCACCGAGTTGACTGGCGGAACATGGGAGAGGCCTTTGTCCTGCAGTGGACGTAGCCAGGCTGATGATGGTGAACCACGATGTGATTCATTACCAGAGACGCCGTAATGGAAGTCTCCGGAAAGTTTTGACCATCTGGTGTTCTTTAGTGTGCGCTTACATCGCATACCACACGGGCCTCGACCATCTCGCCTCCATCAAAATGCGACCGCCTCGGCCGGTTTCGAACCCGCGACCTCCGGGTCAACAGCAGAGCGCCGTATCCACTGGTCCACCGCGCTGGACTTAAATCGTGGTTGACGCCTTCCTCCCCGCAACTCTTGAAATAAATTGTTTTGCAACGCTCTTGTCCAGCTCAACTCAAAATGAATGAATGAACAAGCAAATAAGTAAATCGAAAAATGCAAGAGTAGATTACTTAATTGAGAAAACAAAAGTAGCGTGCTCAGATTTTGGGTTGTCGAAACTCCCCAGGTGGTCGAAATTTCCGGAGCCCTCCACTATGGTGTCTCTCATAATCATATGGTGGTTTTGGGACGTTAAACTTCACATGACAATCATTCAGAGAACATAAGTAAATTGGTAAAAGTACAATTGAACAACTGCAACGACTAAATCCTAAATTAATATTAAAGATGGTCAGATGAACAATGTCATAAATAAATCCACTGCTAAATACTAGTTCAGTGACGGAGAACTGATTTAACCTTCGAAAACTGTCCCCGAAGTGTTGAAAAGCAAGGCGAAGGCATTGGTTCGTTTTTTGAAAGAAATGGCAATTTATACCGCGAGTTTCGGGGCAAGAAAGGGGCAAGCACTGGCCAAGTCGTGGTTCCGCCGAAGTACCACGAAAACATTATTGAAGTTTCTCATCGGGCAGGCTGGCCAGGTCATCTCGGAATTACCAAGACAAAAGCGAGACTGCTGAGTGAATATTACTGGCCGGGCTGTTTTAAAGACGTGGAGCAGTTTGTTCATAGTTTTGCTGTTTGTCAGAAAACTGACCACACAAGAAACAAAACGCGCCCATGACTGCAGTTTTTATAAGCACAGAGCCGTTTCGTCGAGTCGTAGTTGACATTGTGGTTCCCTTACTGGCGACGAAGTGGGGTATAAATATCTTTTGACGATGGTGTGCCCTGCCACTAAATTTCCTGAGGCATTGCGGCTGCGTTGTCTTGCATCGGCAAAAATAGTAGATGATCTTTTGATCTTTTCCCGCGTGGGTTTTCCCGAGCGAAATACAGTACTATCTGGACAGTGTCTTCACAAGTGAGTTAACAACCACCTTTATTAACAGGAGCGGTATCGAGATACAACACAGCTCTATTCAACAACCGCAAAGCAAGTGTAGAGCGTTCATTCTTTAATGAAGCGGGTATTGCGGGCTTTGTGTTACGAGCAAAAATGAAAAAGAAGAATGGGACATTGCGTTACCAGCTATGCTTTTGCATTACGTTCGGTAGCACACAACCCGACAGGTTTTAGCCCAGCAGAGCTTGTGTACGGAAGAGCGTTGTGCTGCCCGCTTGGGCTATATAGTTCATGAGAACTGGGAAGATAAGGGTAGCAATCAGACTATCGCAGAGCACGTTTGCAACCTACTACAGCACCTGTACGACACGCACGACCTGATGGAAGATAATATGCTTGAATCGCAGACAAAAGCAAACAAGAAAAAAGCGTTACGATAAAAACAGCAAAATGCGCCAGCTTCACGTGGGACAGAAAGTGCTCATGTGGCGTACTTCCAAAGCTAACATGCTGGAGGTACCCTGGGAAGGCCCCGGGACGATACAGCAAACTCTCAGACACAACCTACGTAGTTGAACTTCCAGGTCGTAGAAAAGAAGTACGTATCTATGACAGCTACCTCATGAAGCCCTATGTAGAGAGAGTGTAGGTTGTGAATGTAGTGTTAAATCAAGCCGAACAATAAGCAGCTGAACTTCCTGATGTTCCCCATGACATGACTATTTTTCTGTGGATGAAATCCTTAATTTGTCAGCAGACAGGGCTGCTCTTTAAGAAAGTGAGCTTGCAGATATAACAGATATGATAGCACAGCACAGACAAGAATTTTCAAAGGTCCCCGGTGGGACCACTCTGACGACTCATAATATAGAGCTTACAGCTGAAGCTGACCACCCAACTTTGCACAGCAGCAGTCGATGTAAAGCTTACAAATGTTCACCACGCCACAAAAGGTTGATGAGGGAAGCAGTCAATTGGATGCTGGCGCTTAAAGTGGCCGAACGAGGTGAAGGCAGCTTCATGTCTCCAATGATAGAAACTAACGCTAAATAACTGTGGCCGTGTATCAGTTACCATAAGCTTAACTCGGTGACTGTTACCAAAGTGTATCACTTGTCGCACGTAGAACAGTGCTTTGAAAAGGCGAGCAAAGCAAAGTTCATCTCTACGCTCGATTTAGTGCGAGGGTACTGGGGTGCCGCTAGCAGTACGAGCGAGCGAGTTGGCTGCCTTCGTAACTCCTTTCGGTAGCTTTCAACCTTTGATTTTGCCATTGGGTCTTTAAAATGCCCCGCTTGCCTTTTCGAGAATTATGGATCAGGTGCTAGCTGGATCAGAGATGTTCGCACTGTATCGTGTCTTGACGACATCGCAGTATTTTCGATTATTTGGCCAGAGCGTTGAATCGTCTTCGGGAGGTTTTAAGTAAGCTTGATGAAGCTGGGCTAACTTTAACAGCCCAGAAGTGCAAATTAGGTCACTCGGAGGTCGATTACCTGAGTCACAGTTTCACTCAAGGGCATCGAAGCCCACTTGGTTTAAAAATTGTGCCACTCTAAGACTTCCTTCAGCCAGAAACGACAATGGAGCTCCGTACTACCTTGGGTACGGTAGGCTACTACCGACACTATATCAAGTTTCTCTCAGGTATCCAGCCCACTTGCAGACGCACTCAAAAAACACGCTCCTAATAGCGTAAATTGAAAGTAAGTAAAACAAGCCGCGTTTAATTTTTTGACGGTATACTTCTCACTGCCGAGCCCGTTCTGGCAAGCCCAGACCACTCGAAACTCTTATTTGTGCAGTGTGACGCAAGCGAAAATGTGCTGTGTAGTTTCTCATCGGGAAGACGAGCACGGGCATGAGCATCCCATTCTGTACATAAGCCGAAAATTGTCTGCTGGTGAACAAGTCTACAACACCATAGCAAAGAAATGCGTGTGTCTCGTTTGGGTTGACCCTTTTATTAAGTTGGTTATAATTTCATTTTCATTTTCGGATCATCGCTTACTCACGTGGCTTCAGCAGATGTCCGACAAAAATGGCAGGCTGTTACGTTGGAGCATCAATTTGCAACCGTAATCGTTTACGGTTAAACGTATGAAATGATCGCTGCACGCAAATGCAGATGGTCTGAGCAGGGCTTTCTCTCTCTTTGCGCTGGTTAGCATAGTGGCAGTAAAGCCTTGATTCAGTATTTATACGCAACTGTAACTGTCGCGCGTACTCGACAGTCAATTCTGTTTCAAATTAGATAGTTTCCAAAACACTCTGCGTATGAGTCTAGCCTGGCCGATCTCGGCAGTTTGTGGTGTTCGCGGGGGTGCTTGCGGTTCCGCCTATGCCCAGGACCCTGGCCCAGGATTTATGAACTCGGTGACGCCTGCGGTTTTCTGCCACGCCATGCACTCCACGTTTCTGCATATCGACCTGCGAGACCTCCGGACCCTGCACACGTCCCAAAGGGATGCGCCGTTCGACTTGCAAACCCATCACTTCGTCATCTGACTTCGGAAGGTTCTAGGCCGCATCGCTGGATCCTTCCAGACGTGGGTCGCCAAGTCCTTCGATGCTTCTGTGCACCTCGAAACTACCCGTCCGGAGCGCAGCCGGCTAAACTGGCGAAACTTTCCAACAGTGTTCCTACGTCGAAAACTTCGAAAAACCTTGCGAGAAAGCAATAACCAGTTGGTGTGCACAGTTTTCTTTCCCCCTTGGTGCTCTTCTGGTGAGGGGCGGTTGCGTTGCGCACCGCTCGTTACTTGTCAGCCAGCAACCCAAGCCTGGCTCATCTGCTTCGGACGATCATCTGTTGTCGCGCATGTGCCTTGATGTGTGTTCCCGCCCCCTTGATTCACGGTGTGCCTTTATAATTGACTGCGCACCACGCCGTGGGGCCATTCTTTGTTCACCTTCTTTCAGCTAGCACGCCGCATTAAAACCTACGTTCTTCCTTCTCGCAGCGTCTTCCTCTCCCGGCTTGGGGCCCTACTCAGTCAATGTAACAAGGGGCATGTCTATCACAAAATTGATTGATTGATTGATTGATTGATATGTGGGGTTTAACGTCCCAAAACTACCATATGATTATGAGAGACGCCGTAGTGGAGGGCTCCGGGAATTTCGACCACCTGGGGTTCTTTAACGTGCACCCAAATCTGAGCACACGGGCCTACAACATTTCCGCCTCCATCGGAAATGCAGCCGCCACAGCCGGGATTCGATCCCGCGACCTGCGGGTCAGCAGCCGAGTACCTTAGCCACTAGACCACCGCGGCGGGGCAATATCACAAAATATAAGATAACCTTTTGAACTTTTGTATTTTTTAAAATTTCGGGCTCATTAACAAAATTGATTGGGGTAGGGGGGAATTTGTTTCACAAAGGTAAGCCCATAGTCTGAAATGTTTTTTTTTCGATTTTGGAGTGCCTCTGTACATTTTAATAAAATTGGTAGTGGGGGCATTTGTGTCAAAAGGGTAAGCTTAGAGTCGTTAAAAATCTAGTATTTCTCGATCTGGATGTCATTCCTTGCATTTAAAAACAATGGTTTGGAGAGGGCAGGGGGCATTGCTGACACAAATGTATCTTTTTCATTTCTGGGTGATTTTCTCTGTTCTAATAAAATTGGTTGATTCATCGCGTTTTAAAGGGGACCTGCAACAATTTTTAGCATGGTCAGAAAATGCAGCCGATCGGTAGCAGAGGCTCCCGACAACACGAGAACCAAAGAAGAGGAAAGATTAAGTGGAAGGACAGGAAGTTAGCCAGTCCTTAGACCGGCTGGCTACCCTGTGCTTAGGAAAGGGCCAAATATTATAGACGGCACGCTGCCCGTAATTCACAATCAATAAAAGTCAGCTAGAAATTGCTTTGTCTTCTCTCGACAAATTACGCAATAAGCCCAAAAATCACTCGTAGTAAGCCAATCTATCAGCTATTGGCTGATTTGACAATGGCGCGCTGGGTCGTTAGAGATCGCCGCGGGAGGCTGTCGCTTGTCCACGCGTGCGCACGCGATCGCACTGAAAAAAACACGTATTCGAAGAAAAAAAAATGCTCAAGGTCACGACGCGCACGTGACGTTTTTAGTTTGCTCTTCCCATCTCTCCCTGCTTAGCTTCCGGCGCTTTCGTCGGGACGAGAGAAGAGAGAATGCGATTGCAGCGTGTGACAAATCTTTGTAACTCCGCTCGTACTGGATGGTTCCTTAAAATTTTTGTGGTGTAGAATTTCTAAGGCAATACGCTTTTTCAGTGAACTAATTTTATGGTTACCCAAAAAGGTGTTTCAGGACCCCTTTTATAAAAATGTCTGTGGGAGCATTTATGCCACAAGTATTTTTATTTCCGAGTGATTCTTGGCGTGTTAATAAAATTAGTTGTGAGGGCATTTCTGTCCATAAAAGTAGTTATTTAGCGTTTCATTGAGCTAAATAAAGTTGGTTGGGTGGGCGCATTTCTGTCACAAAGATCACCTTGTAGCCTCTGGAAATGAAGTATTTTCGTGTTGCAGAGTCATCCTTCGTTTTTAATAAAGTTGGTTGGGGGGAGAGGGAATTTCTGTGCTTGTTTTTTAAAAAATAATTGATGAAACCCAAGGTGTAGACTTAACTCCCTCTCACCGCCCACTTACAAGGCAAGGTCTCGGTTTGTAAAAAAAAAACCATAAAAATTCCTCATTTATTTTTTTTAGTTGTAGAGGCATTCGTACAGTTCAGAAAGAGAGAGAGAAATAGATAAAGATGTAAGGAAAGGCAGGGAGGTTAACCAGACGCACATCTGGTTTGCTACCCTGCACTGCGGAAGGGATGAAGGGGAGATATAGTTCGGATATTTATTTATTTATTTATTTTCCAAAGACTGTTAGCCTTTCGGCTGTTACAGGGGTGGGGCATACTAAGAATGACAAACATCAATACATTCAAATCATACAGCAATTTAAACAGCAACACTTGAGCTTGGAAATGTTACATAACATACATTGGAAACACCGGCATTGAGGCTGAAGGAAAAGCAGTGCAGTCGTAGTAAGCATACAAATAAATTGCAATAAATTAACATAGTAGGCCATGCTTACAGAAAAATATCTTTGAGCCCTTCCTCAAATTTTTCCAGTAAATCACAATGAACCAGTGGTATTGGTAAAGCATTCCCCTGACGAATTGATTTTGGAAAAAATGAATTCGCATATACATTGACACGCTGTTGTGGCACTTCGTATGTCTAATCGTTTACACTTCTTAGGTTTCTTCCGCGACGTGGCGTGAAGTATTTTGTTGTATTTATGTTTAATTTATTTTTTGACAAGAAAAACAAGAACTTCATCCTTGCCAATTGCCGTCGTTCGGCTAAAGTGGGCAGTTGAAGAGTGCGTAGTATTTCTGTTACTAACTCAGTCGAGGAGTACTTATGTGCTCCGTCTTTTGCGCTGTCTTCGTATCCGCCTTGTCGTCGAGTTATTTCGCTCCGCGCGTTGAAGAGCGAGGGGTCGTATAGCTTCGACTTCCGGCGGTGAGTTTATATATATATATATATATATATATATATATATATATATATATATATATATATATATATATATATATATATATATATATATATATATATATATATATATATACATATACATATATATATATATATATATATATATATATATATATATATATATATATATATATATATATATATATATATATATATATAGTTTCATTCTACAGAATAACAGATGCTGGAAGGTTTCCTTTATGAACGGATGGGTCACCATTCAACAGGTCTTTGTTCAATTTACGCCAAGTTCCCGCATCCTTCGAACAAAGGCCGTGGGACGGATTGGTATCCTTACATGCCGTGTGGAAGTATGTATGTTCCCCGAACAGCTTTTCGCATGTCCTTCACGCTGGCTCCATTTCTTTTAATGTCAAGGCGATAACAGTTTTCATGCTCGCCAATGGTGTCCTTAAGACTTTCCCGGCCAGATATAAATTTTTCGACAGAAAGCTTGACGCCCCTGCTTTCTTTCATTTTCGCACTTCTGGGCCCATTTCTTTTTTTTTTTTTTTCTGAACGTGCCAAATGCACTCCAGCTTGCGAACTGTAACCTCTACATATGGCTATGATGTTTAAACTGCAAGGAATCCCTTGCTACGTAAGAAGAAGGGCATGGCAGATTGCCGCACAAGTCTTGAAATATGTTATTTTTAGAGCAAAAAAAAAATCAGTGATCCTGGTTCAGAAAAGGCTGCAGATTTTAAGTATATAGTTAGAAATGGCCTGTCTAAACGACTGTGATCGGAACGCCCTGAATGTGTGTGCATGGAAATTTCTTTTCTAATTTATTTTATATCTCTCTATCTCTATCCTCTTTCCGACTCTTATTCCCCCACCCCTGTATAGGGTAGCAAACCAGTCCATCTGGGTCAACCTCCCTGTCTCTTCCTTTTATTTATTTCTCTCTCTCCCGTGGTACACCAAACTTGGGGTACACCAAAATTAGTAGGGGAAGGTAAGATGGTCTGATGAGCATGACTCGCTGGTCATGGCGTGAATTACGTCACGATTCCGTTGCGTACGTCGTCGAACCTTTTGCTTCAGACATGTGCGGCACGTACTAGTAGTGCACGGGCCACAGTGTGCGGTGTTGCGACGCCCGCCTCCGACGACGTTACGAAGGGCGCTACGAATCTCACCGCTGCAACCACTGTTTCGAAAGACGGCGACGCCAACACGGTCCCGAAGGCGCCACTGCTTCGAACTCCGTAGGGAAGGTCACCAGCCGTTTGGTAGCGTAGGTTTCTCAGCTCGCGACTGCTTCTGCGCAGAGCTGATAGACGAGCGGACGAGACGACGGTGAGTTAAACTAGGTTTATGTACAGCATATATACAGAGGCGTTACAAATTCGGCACTGGGGCCGACAGAGACGCGAAGAGCCGAGCTCTTCTCTCTAACACATAGCTCTACTCTCAAATGGGTCTGCTGTCAAAGGGGTCTGCTCTGACACACATGTCTGCTCTCACATAGGACTGGTAACATATAGCTCAACTCTGACACACAGCTCAACTGCGACACACATGTCTGCTCTCACATAGGACTGCTGCTAACACATAGCTCAACTGCGACACACATGTCTGCTCTCCAACAGGTCTGCTGCTCGCGACGCGCCGCAGGGCTTCTTTTATATTGCTGCGACAGGTTCGCCACATTCAAGTAGCCCGCCACAATCATCGTCACCAGCACCAGCAAGACCCGGCTCGGCTGGCATGCGCCACGCGTTCGGACGTTCAACAACGAGGAAGAGGAAGTTAGTCAGATCTGTGCCACTCGGCCGAGTGGCACAGATCTGACAGGAGAGAAAGCTCGCGAAGCAGAAGCTTTCGGACGCCATCGGACGCCATCACCGCTGATCTTCCGCTGAACCGGGCTTCGTTCTGAACCGGGCTCGTCCCTTCGGACTCTTTCGGACGGTGGTTTGGCTGAGTTTTTGGGTGAATTTGACCTGTTGAAACTAGCTGACGTGGCATATTACTTCTTTAAGCAATCGAATTAGTGCTAATGTCTAATTCATCTCCTGGCCAAGGGCATAGCCCTTGGTCAGCCTCCTTGCCTAATGATGAATTGCCATTGGAATATTTTTTCCGCAGCGGTGTTGGAAGCATCCCTGTTGCGCTGGTGCCCTCGAGTGGTGGATTTATTAAGCTCAACAACCCGAAGGCGATCCAGGTGGGGTTGCAGGCCATGACGCCGCACTTTCAGCTGATAAGTGATGTTCGTCAGTTCGGAAGAGGTGGTTTGGTATGCAGATCGTCAGATCCTTCGTGCGTTTCTGACATCCTAAAATGCAAGACATTTGCTTCGGTCCCGGTAAGTGCATTTATCCCGCCTCATTTAGCGTGCACTAAGGGAATTGTACGAGGAGTCGACTCTACATTAACGCCCGCTGAGACTCTGGAAAA